TTTCCGGCCTCAGGTCATGAAGACTCTGACCGCGCGATGCGGCGTCCGCTGGGTTTAGCGCAGTGGGAACGTATCGCCAGTCCTCCGGCCTCGTGACGTCATGGATCTCAGCTATCCGGTTGCTGACAAACACGTGATATCTTCGCCTGCTGGACTGAATCCACGCAAGAACATTCTTTGAGTCTGACCAGCACAGAGTAGATTTGATCACCACTCGTGCCTCTTTCTTCACGCAGGAGATCATTCTAGTGAGCAGCACCGCAGCTTGAAGCTCCAATCTGGGGATAGAAAGTCTTTTGGTGGGGGCTAGCTTTGCTCGAGCTCCCACAAAGCTGACGTGGACTTCGCCATCTGCTTCCCACCGGTAGAAGAGGACTGCGGCGAATCCTCTCTCACTAGCGTCGCAAAATCCGTGCAAGTCCACCTCCTTGATCAGATGCCCCTGAAAGACATGCCTGGGTAGCTGTACATCACAGATTCTTCGCAGCTCTTGTGTCCACCTCTGCCACTCTGTGTTGATGTCAGATGGGATACCATCATCCCAGTCGAGCTTGTAATCCCAGAGTTGTTGAAGCACCAGCCGGCCTCGAAGATGCCAGCCAGCCAAGAAACCGATCGGGTCATACACAGACATGACGGTCTTCAGAATGAGGCGCTTCGTTGGGGATTCTGGCGGCTCATGAGCTCGATATGTGAGAATGTCCTGTCCAGGTTTCCAGACGACGCCTAGAGCTCGGTGACATTCTTCATCATTGAGCGCGATGTCCTCATCATTCCGTTGCTCGGGCTGGAGCTGGCTGAGAACTGCGTGTGAATTGGAAGCCCAAGGACCCAGCTCAAAGCCTCCCCGACTGAGGACTGTTGTCAGCTTGTTGATGAGCGTAGCTGCTTCATCTTCATTGTCCGTCCCAGTGATCACGTCGTCAACATACGTGTCTTCCATTGCTGCTCTTGCCACCACAGAGTCGCCATCTCCAAAGTCTTCTACTGTTCGCCTGAAGCAGTAGTTGGCCACGCTGGGTGAACATGTTGCACCGAATATGAGCACTGGTGACTCATAAACATCAAACTCGCCGGTGCGTCGTGAGCCACGCCATAGGAAACGTAGGCTTGGGCGGTCTTTTACGTCCATGCTGACCTGGCTAAACATAGCCACCACGTCCGATGTGACAGCGACTGCCTTCTCCCGCCAACGCTGCAGGATGCCACTCAGCGAGTTCATCAGGTCAGGTCCTTGCATCAATGCATCGTTTAAGCTCATTCCGTGGCTTTTTGCTGCGGCGTCTAGAACCAGACGCACTTTTTTCGGCTTGTTCTGGTTCCTAACGGCCATGAGAGGTAAGTACCAGGTGTTGTCTGGCTCTCGTGACGCCTCCTCCAGAGTCAGTTTACGGAAGTGACCGTTACGCAGCATCTTCTGCAGTTTCGCCTCTGTCAGATCTGCCAAGCCGTTGGGGTTGTCTCCAGAGAGTTTGTCTCTGTCCAGGCGTCTCTCGAATGCCAACGCTCTCTTTTCAGCCATTTGACGGCTTGGAGGAAACTTTTCACCTCGATCCCTTCTCAGCAGGGGTGCTACCCAACGCTCCCCGTTGTGGTAGACTTGGGATTTGAGAATCTCTTCAGATTTTCGATCCTCTGGGCTGCGAGGGGTATCGTACTGATACTTGCAGCCGAATGTTTCTGTCTCCCAGTTAGCTTTGACCAAGCTCTCCAGGGTAGGACTCTCCTGAGCGATCCGATGAACCTGCCACGCGGCTCTGGAGTCTTCGGTGTCTAGCACGCGCCCTGTGAGTGTCCATCCCAGCCTAGTCTTCTGCAGAATAGGACCGTTCTTGGAAGGACGCCGAAGTGACTGTGAAGCAATCAGCTCCGCGTGGTCGATCCCGATTAGGAGCTGTGGTTCTTCGCCAACGTGTGGAAGATCCTTCACTTCAGCGTACCTCTCTCGAAGTTTTGTCGTTCCGAGCGCTTCCTTTTCGAGAGGTAACGACGTCATCGTGTAGACGTCTGTCAGCGAGTAGGTATCTCCCGTCGTTACGTTCGAGATATTCACGTCAATGAGTGACGACTTGAGCTTCGTGACGCCCGTCAAAGTCTTCATCGTGAGATTGCGTGGACGCTGGTGCAGTCCAAGTTCTTCAGCCACCTTCTGGGAGATCAGCGTAAGAGAGCTCCCTTCGTCCAAGTAAGCGAGACAGAGCTTCTTACCAGCCGGCCCGCTCAGTTCGACCGGCACAGTTTTCATCAGCACGAGGCACGGCTGCGAGGCTGCTGACATAACTCCACTGGTGTCCGGTCTTGTGACGTCATCATGAAGGAGGACATGGTGCTCCTCTGAGCAACCAGCCTTGCCGCATGGCCGCTGGCGACGGCACGCTGATGTCTGGTGACCCGTACTGAGGCACCAAACGCAAGCTTTCGTCCTTTTCACCCAGGCACGCCTGTCAGCTACAGAGAGTTGCTTAAACTGGTCACAGCTTGCGATCCAGTGGTCTTCAGAGCAGAAGTAGCATTCTACCTTCCGCGCCTTTGGTTTTCCCCGACCGGCTTCCCGGCGCACCTTCTCTACGGAATCAGACGTGGCGAATATCGGATGACGTTTGGTTTTTGTAGCGCCACTGCTGGTTCTGGGAACACTGAACTGCCGGTCCCTCACGTGACTGCAGAGGAAATCATAGAAGATTTGGCAGGTCAGCTGGCTCCCGGATTCCATTCTTGCCCTGGCATAGCCACCCCAGGCGAGCTGACTCTCCGGTGGGAGCTTCTCGGCCAGTGACGATATGGCCCGATAATTATCCAGTTCTGCCTGGTATCCAATGGCCTGCAGCACAGACATAGTGTTGTGCACTTCGCTGCAAAACACACTCAGACTTTCCACGTCTCCGTTCCGAATTTTCGGCCCGCTCAGGAGCTTCTCCGTCACTGACTGGGTTATGATGAACCGGTTACCAAATCTGACCTCCAGCGTCTCGAGAACGTCATTCAGGGAGCCGCCTGAGAGGAGTGTGCCATGAACGGCATCGAAGGCAGGGCCTTTCAGCTTGTCCTGGAGATGCTGTAGAATCTGAAGATCCGTGAAGTTTCCACTGCTCCTCGCCTCTTCAACTTGGCGCTGGAAAAAGGGATACCTTTCCGGCTGTCCACTGAACACAGTAAATGCGAGTTTCGGCGTCTCCTTGAGAAAGATGCACTGGGTGCCGGAGCCCATTCGCAAACTTGCATTGTCACCATATTCCATTCGTTCATACGGTGTATGGCGAGAACTTCTTGCATCGTCCTCTATTTGGGATAGATCAGGACCAGCGATCGACAAATCATGATTGTCATTGATGTCATGTACAAATTCCGCGGCCTTCTTCTCCCGTAGTCGCTTAAGAGAGAGCTGACTTTCCTGTACTAGGAGCTCGAGTCGTTTCTCCTCTTCTTCATAGCTTCTACGAAGAGACGATGACGAATCTGCAGCTGACACCGTGAGCCAGCTGCTAGATCTCGGCATTGGTGTCGGCGTCGGTCTTGCGCTCAGCGATCGTCTTGGTGCCGGAACCGGCCTCCTTGAAGTATCCATGTCAATCGGATGATGCAACTCACTTTTACTACATCAACTTTACGTTAATTAAAACTGTTTCCGTTGGTTCAGCTAATAAGCAATTAAAATCTTACCTCTATTGAAGGCATTGCGAACTGCAACACCGTAGCAAGGCAAAGATTATCGCCAAATTATTATGCAAATTACGCAAAAATTATTGTTCATCAATGTTGCGTACTGCAACAGTGTACGTACTGTACAGGGAGAGTTAGTTCTATGGCGATATCATATTAGTTTATTGTAAAAATCGGCATCTTACAAAACACTAAAATCCACCATGAACAATAATTTTCTCTCTCCTTTTACATGATCACTTTGTCACACTGATCTTGATTTTATTGATCCTCGCGCAGAGGCACATGAATCTGGCATTGCAGTCCTCTGATGGACGTGCGCATCTAAATGAAACATGATTGAATGAATGAATCAATGAGAATGAATGATGCTCGAGCCGTCCTCAACAGATACCATGAAAAGGGCGCCATTCTCCTAGAAGGGTGCCGAGTGATTGGAAACGCTGCATGGTCCAGGGGAGCTGAGAGCCTAAGAGGCCAGAAGGGCACCAAACAGTCAGTAGCGCTAAGTTGGTGGGGACGTAGGGGCGCCAAACGGTTACGAGGGCGCCGTGAGATCATGACAAGGGGCGCCATTCTCCAAGAAGGGCGTCAGGCGACAGGCGATTAAAAACGTTACATGGTCTAGAGGTGCTGAGAGGCCAGAAGGGCGCCGAACAGTCGAGGGATGCACGGTGGACAGAGACATAAGGGCGCGAGATGGTCAGAAGATCGCCGTTAGACTATGGGAAGGGCGCAGTACTGTCAACTGGGCGCCATTCACCCATAAGGGCGCCGAGTGATTAAAACGCTACATTATCCAGGAACGCGAGACGGTCAGGACCAGGAGGACGCCGTTAGAGCAGGCGAAGGGCGCAGTGCTCTCGAAAGGGCGCTTGTAAAAGACTTGTGGGTGCATTTTCATCATTGTGGGGGCATATTTCAGGATTGTGGGTGCATCTGCCCCCTCAAAGAGATATAAAATTACGCCCCTGCTTACCTTGCACTGTACGCCTTGATTGCACTGAACTAACAAAATTGCAGGCGAAGGATAAATTCATATGGTAGCACCAGGTAGCACATAGTGCATTTGGTGGCATCGATAGATATAAATGTCATGTGACAGCAAACTATTACTGAAACGAAATTTGCATTTATATGATATTTTTTATTTGATACCTTCCAAGTTAGCAATTTCTTATAACTCAATGAGCATACTAAAAAGTTAAAAACACTGTTGCAGAACAAGTTGTGGTAACTATTCACTTCCAAAGCAGGTATCACGTGATATCTGATTGCTGCTGGGCATTTCGGTTTGCTTGTCGGCATTTCTTGCGCGTTTGCTACGATTCTGGTGCACACAATCTTTTTCTGCAACTTTGTGATTTCTCATTATTTTTATTCAAATAGTTTTGATGGAAGTGTTTCATGTTTACTGTGCTCTTTTCCTGCACTGAGAAGCATATAAGAAAGTAATAAGACAATGGTAATGATAGAACTTGGTTGTTGACTTCTGATCGCCATATAGCTATTCTTATTTTAACACATGCCTCAGTGGGTGTAGGTACTAAGAATTTAATTGTTACCCCATACAATGTCAATGCTGTATTTGGTTTGCATTCAGTAGGTAGCATCATTTACATGAGTGTACCAGTATTACTCTTTGTGCATTATCAATGCCAAGAAAATGGAGCTGGCAGCTGCCTGCTGAATCATTGGTTACTGGGTGGAATATGAAAACGGGGCGCTGGAGGGCATTTTAGTCACATGATTATTGGTATATTCTCCCCGTTTGTGTCAACAGGGTAATTATCATGTGATTAGCTCAAGCAAATTTCAAGATCCTTGATCAAATTGCCCCAAGCGCCCCGTTTTCAGGTGGTGTTTCACCGATGATAGCAACACGCTGCTATTATACGTGTCAAATTGGGTTTTCATGGATATGTCAACAAGCCCATTGATCTGACACTACCACAAGTGTGACATCAGCTTGCGAAATGGAATAAGCAGCGTGCAATGAGATTCTGCCCAGATTCCAGTTCCACCAGTTACTGTTACTTGCTTTGACTTGGGGCTCAAGTTCCGTAGGGCTTGATGCTTGTGTGTATGAACACCTGTAAAAGGCTACATGTACAGGCCACACCAAGAAGTGGAGAGAAGAAGAGATAAAACTTTTCTCTAGGTCAAAGCTCTTTTTTAGCAGTATACCTACCTAACCTGTGCATGGCCATGGGCCAAGCTAATGAAAGATATTGTAATGACAAATTGAAATTATGCAAGGAGCTTGCCAAATTCATAGATAAAACATTTTCTCATTTTTGCAATCATCCCAGTACTTTGACTAACTGGGCTGTAAATAGAGACATCATCTATACCAGGCAATTCGAGTAAACCTTAACGTATATGTCATATCTGTACATTTTTGTCAGAGACAATTTGTCAGTTACTTTTCAGAAGCCGGCACCTCTCTAGGTGCCCATTAACATCATAATTTTGATCAAAGTAAGGCTGTTGTCAGTGGTGTGATGGGTATTGTTAGGTGTGTATTAGTCTGACAGTCTTTTGGATTGGAGGACTGAGGAAGGCTGCCTTACTCAGCAACAAAGAGCTTTAATTTTGTGAATGCTTACTTAGATAAAAACAACACTTTGCATGAAAGCCTGCAGGAACAGTTATGCTATCATGTAAAAAATCTGACTGATGTGCTTCATGACTATCTTGTGTGTTTTAATTTTGGACTTTTAAATATTCAAGGAATCTTTTATTTAATTTCCACTTCTATGTAATCACATGAAGAGTGAGGCCAGACCTACTCAACTTCGATGAATGAAAGACATTTATCCATGCTGACAGCTTATGAGAATTATTGCACAAATACTCACTCCTGCCAACAGATCTGCAGCAGCCTTATTCTCAACTAACTTTTGGCCTCCCTCCATCCAGGTTGAATGGGCTCATGTGATGCAGTGCTCCATTTTTCTTTTGTCACTGCCACTTTTTGGTATATTAGGCACAGGTCTCACGGGTTTTAGCGGTAGGTTTTGCACCTAGAAAGTTTAGTGTACTTCAGGCTATATCTTCGTCGTCTTAAGCTTTTGAGTGTTGAAGATGCGATCGACTTGGTGGGTAACAAGCCGGCCATGATCGCGTAAAATGGCTCCATCGTAGATCGATTAGTTTCTGAGATATAACGGGAAATGTAAAAGTGCAAAAGCTACCGCTCAATCTCGCGAGAGCCGTACCTACCTAGTTAACCATGAGTCTACACTAAGATAATTATTGCTATTTTTCAGCATGGTAGGCTAAGAGTCAAAACTACAGAACAACAAGAAGCGGAGAAAGCTGTAGAGCGCCAGAAGAAGCTTGCGAAATACAATGCTGGCACAGCTCTGCTTTTTAAAAAGGTAAGGGGAAACATGTGAAGAAAATATGAAAGTAATTGTATGAACTTTATCAACAATTTTGCTGCTTTATGTCACTTGCTTGCTTGACAGATGATTGTGTTGTGTGATATTTTAAAGTGAACATATTTATGTGATAGTTGATTAAATTTGACCAAAATACTCCAACAAATCGGTAATGCAGTTTTTAGTTTGTATCTTCGACAGTTTTAAATGGATAGAGAGACAAACAAAGAAATGGACACAGAGACATAGTCTGCTCATGTACAAAGCAGAGTTCCTTGCACTGGGACCTGAAACTCTTCCACTGTGTCAGCATTGGACTGCTGAGACAGCTGAAAAGCCAAAGTGGAACATTCTTTTGTAGCCAGACACGGTCCGTTCCAATCACTGGTTTAAGCTGACTGTGGCTGCTTGCACCAAGCATACACCATCCCTACCAGGAGTTTTATTTATCAAGCGCCAAAGCGATTGGAACTTGACGGGCTCTCAGAATGGAAATTCCAGCCGGCTGTACCGATCCAGTAAGGGACAAAGGAGTTGGAACTGACAGAGGGATGACGTACCGCCAGTGAATCTGAGAGGTGCTAAAACGTGTTTCTCGAACCATTCGATGTTCATTCTGCAATCTTGTAAAATACGTACCGAAACAACAATTGTGTGATCTAGGCATTTTTTTAGTTGACTTAGTTTATGGTGTTTTATGTATTTTTTTTTCACGTGCGCACTTTTTCCGCAGCGCAAAGAGAGAGTATACGATGAAGAGACTGCACTTCAGTTGTCTCAGATTTTGGCCGTGAATCCGGACTTTTACACGTTATGGAACTACCGTCGTGAAATTTTCCTGCACTGGAAGGCCGAAAAGTAAGTATTGTCAACTACCCAGTCACAAACGTTCTAAACTGTTACTTTGCTGGAGTCAGCAACCAACGGCCATTGCTTTTAAATTGTTGACATCATATGACGTTGAATTGGTATCGTTTGCGTTTCCAGTAAGCGCTGCCCGCATAGAAACTTATCCCTGCTCGTTATTTGTATTTAGTTGCTTGTTTCATCAAAGCAGCTCTTCAAATGTTCTTTATAAGTTGGTCGCATGGACTGTGGAGCACTGTCTATAGCCAGTGCCATCAACGTCTACCCTATAGCGTTCACGCTCATCGCCCTACACTCGTTTTTTTTCAGGAGTTCGGAATATCTGCAGCAGATGCTTAAGTCCGATCTTCAGTTCACCGAACAATGTCTCGGCGTAAATCCAAAGTCCTACTGTGCTTGGCACCATAGGTAAGTGAGAGCCTGTTGTGTGGCTGTGGCTGCAGGTATCCTGTTGAAGAAAATACGCCAATTAATATTTCCTTTTAGTTGAGCTAAAACCCGCCATAAGTACCTGCCATCTTGAGGACTGGTCGGTTACGATTCTATATTTAGTCCCATGATCCGATTTTTGTGCCTCTGCATTTGGCGACATATACCGGGATTAATTGCCGCCGGGATAGTTAGATTTAATCGGCTTCTAACATGTGACCCACCTTCACTGTCATGTCGCTCATATCACTCGGAGACCCGGGCTGCCGACGCGCTCGTGAGACTGGGCCGGGTTATGATGGACGGTCCAACGGGCGATGTTGTGCTCTCGCCAGGTGTTGGGTGATGGAGAATATGCCCGCCCCGGACTGGGAAGCGGAGATCCAGCTCTGTGACCGCTACCTCAAACTGGACGGAAGGAACTGTGAGTGACACTTCGGCGGGACGCTGCTGACGGATGCGGCGGCGAGATGAACCGTCCCCCTCGGGGGTACAGCTATCCCATCAATTATTGATGACAGACTAACTAATAAGCTTGTTTTCAAAGTATGGATGCGGGTTGTTGTAACGAATGGCTTTTTCTTGTTCACTCATGCACGTTTGGTTGACGGAACTGATATTTTACGGCAAAACCGGTATTACCGCATTTTTGTTGGCCATTTTCCTTGCTCTGTCGTTCGTCGAAAGTCGTTGGACTTTGCAGCAGACGAGAATGAATCCATTGAAAAGGTCAGCATGGAACAGCTCAAGATTAACGTTTTACAGGTGTCTTGTTTATCTTCACATTTTCGTTTTCCTGCTAAGTGTCAAATATTTTCTTATCAGCAAACGCAAGGCGAATTTTTAGCTCCGGCTGGTAACAGTGTTCATCATTACGCTAAAATTTAACTTTGTTTAGAAAAACATAGGTACGACTTTTTTTGTACTACGTTACGTATGATCCTCGCACGATGTCGGAGAGCGATTTTTTCCGGTACCTGTGCTGTTTCATTACACCATAAAACATTTTTTTTTGGCCCAGGATCGGTAAGCAGGTGGTACATTTGAGATATGTCAATATCGTTCACTTACCCGAAAGTTCGCGTACAGGCTTGCTGTCGAAGTCCCAAGAGTCGCTGCTCTGCCATTACCATGGGCTTGGTACAAAACAAACTTGGGCGAAATATTTATGGTTATCTCATAAAAGACTAATCCCATTTCACATATTCCGTTCCTGCGGCTCATGTTTTCGTGTGGTATCACCTGTAACCTCATGCAGACGTTCACACAATTTCTCAATGTTTCATAAAAATCAATCGTTTTTGCTGAATCCTCGACAAGAACGACTTTTATGATATAAAATCAGAGCTCGGTTTCGCTCGTACACCCCGCTGGCAATGACACGGTCCGCCACCCACAGTCCACTGCTGGGACTACCGTCGGTTCGTGGTGGCCGGCGCCGGCCGGTCGGCCGCTGACGAACTGGCCTCGGCCGACCGTCTGATCGAGACCAACTTTTCCAACTACTCGTCCTGGCACTACCGCTCCCACCTGCTCAGTGAGCTGTTTCCCGCCTCCGGCACGGCCACACCCATCAGAGAGGACAAGTACCTGCACGGTGAGATGGGACGGCAGTTTGGTGGAGGGGTATCGTGAAATACCCAAGCGGATCTCTTTTATAAAACCAGAGCGGGTCGGATGAGGTTTGTTATGCAGTGATTTGAACGTTGCATTGAATTGTCTTTGTGAGTTTAACGTCCTCTTTATAATTCCAGCAGTTTTTTACTCGCTTTTATTGATACCGATCGAATGCTCTAAATGCTCGCACGCTATTTTGAGCAGACGTGCTATCAGTTTACCGTGAATTGAAATTTTAACTTAATATCTGCAGCTGACCTGCTTCTGCAAGATGCCAATCTACCGATTGTCACACAGTTTCATATTGATTTCCTGGCACTCCCGGCAGAGCTGGAACTGGTCCAGAACGCCGCTTTCACGGACCCGTCCGACCAGGCGCCGTGGTTCTACCACCGCTGGCTGCTGCAGGGGCGCCGCCCAGCGGCCAGCATCCTAAGCTGCAGTGTGCTGCGCGGCGGACAGATGGCGCGCGTGGCGGTGGCGCTCAGCCGCCCGGCACGGCCGGCTGACGTCGGTCTGACGCTTGAGGCTGGAGAGAGTCGCGTCACCGAGTGGATCTCACCCACTGGAGAGAGCAGCGGAACGGTCTGGGTGAGTGGGCGGGGTGAGCAGGGAGGGAGAGGGAGAGAGAGGGAGAGAGAGGGAGAGATGGGAGAGAGGGAGAGAGGGATAGAGAGGAAGAGAGGGAGAGAGAGAGAGAGAGAGAGAGAGA